TTGTGTGGAATTCACCAAAACCCACTGCCATTCAGTTGTTTCCTGTCTTAAAGACTCTAAAACAGCCTAGAACTGCTCCATAGCGTTTCAGAGGCTATAATCTGGTAGAAAAGGAGCGCTGATAGCATAGTGGTTACTAATCGGGCTGCGAATCGCAAGGTCAGCAGTTCGAAACTACCAGCTGCTCCGCGGGAGAAAGATGAGAGGCATTCTGCTCCCGTAAAGATTAACAGCCTTGGAAACCCTGTGCAGGGTCGCTATGAGTTGGAACCAACTCCATGGCACATAACAACAACAATAACAATCTGGTAGCATAGTGGTTATGAATCGGGCTGTGAACCGCAAGGTCAGAAGTTCGAAACTACCAGCTGTTCCACAGGAAAGAGATGAGGCTGTCTGCTCCTCTAAAGATTTACAGCCTCATAAACCCTGTACAGGGTCGCTATGAGTCAGAACCGACTCCATGGCACACAGCCACCACCAATCTTTATGGAATCAGACTGCCTCATCTTTCTCCCAATGAGAAGCTGGTAGGCTCGAACCACCAACCTTCAGGTTAGCAGCTCAACACTTAGTCAATTGTGCAACCAGGACTCTTTGTGGTATTTTTTTAAAAAGAGGCCTTTTCTTAAATTGGTCTCCAAGATGTTGTTATCAAGTGTCATCAAGTCATTTCCGACTCATGGTATAGGGCTTCTTAGGAACAGATGGTGATTTTGAACTAATGACCTTGTGGTCTGCAGTCCAGTGCTGATACTACAGTGCCAGCAGGCTCATGGCCAACATTTAGAATTCAAATGAAATGTATTCAGTTGAGTATCTTGCTAAGATAGTAAATATTGTAAGAAACATGCAAAAATTGGCCATTAAAATAATAAAATCCCAAATTTCTTTGTCTTTTGTGAGTACCTTCCAGACTGCAGGCATCCTGCATGGTACACAGTTGACACTCAATAATGCAGACATGAGCAAAGTATACAAAAACCAAAATGGCACCATTTCCTGCTCTTGAATTCCTTAGAATCCGATTAATGAGGAAGCAGTTACTCTCACTAACTAGATAACTCAATTATGGGAATATAGAGCAAGGGTATAGAAACCACACTCAGTTTCAGGAAGGATTTCTCAGATATGAGGCCAAAGCTGTGACTTGAGAGACAATTATTTGTTACCTGAAGAGGGGGTAGAAGGACGTTGATGTCACTAGCAGAAAAAAAAGAACAAGTGGTATGGCTTGGAGATGTGGAATAATAGCCTACTTTAGGAATCTTTCAGTGGATATTTGGCTGGAGTTTAGGGGATAGATTAGGGCAACGATGGGAGATGGACTATGAGAGTGGATGGTGGTCTTTGTACCAGTGATCCTTCATGTTAAGTTATGCCTTATTTTCAAAGCTATGGGGAGCCACCAAAGGATTTTACAGACAAGTGAAGTGATCTGAATTTTCTGTTTTAAAAGACCACTCTAACCCTAGGCTTTCACATTTGATTTGAGCTGGCCACATAGAAGCCAGAGAGATCAGCAATTTTAATAGGTGAGCCATAGGAAACTGATGGGTAAGATAAGAAAGGATGAGAGAATACAGAGCTTTCTGACTAAATGAGATGTGGACGTGAGAGAGAGGCAAGAGACCAGGATAACATTTAGCTTCCTGATTTAAGCACCTGACTAGAGGGGAGGCCATTCACTGAGATTGAGGGGCTCTAGCAAAGAATTTCACTTTGGGGCCATTGAATTTAAGGTACCTACTGAACATTACTTAACTACAATAACAACACTGGATATTGAATTACAGCCTCAGAAGCCATATACAGGGTCACTATGAGTCAGAACAGACTCCATGGCACATAACTACTACCACTACCACTGGATATTCCAGGGACCCTGGTGGCACAGTGCTAAGTGTTCAGCAACTAACCAAAAGGTCAGTGATTCAAACCCACCAGCCACTCCATGGGAGAAATATGTAGCAGTCAGCTTCCATAAAGATTTACAGTTTTAGAAATGCTATGAGGCAGCTCTATTCTGTCCTATAGTATCACCATGAGTTGGCATCAACTGGACAGCAATGGGTTTGGTTTGGGCATTGATGGTGATAGTAAGAACTAGAGTTGGTTCCTCATAGGAACTAGAGTTGGAAATCCTGAATAGGATTTCCGAGCATCAGCTTGTAGGTTTGAACCACTGACCTTGTTATTAGTACTCCAATGCTTGTCCTACAGGAAACTGTTGACTGTTGGGTATAGAGTTTAAGAGATGGATTTATCCAAAGATGAAGATGGGACAATTAAAGGGTTCAGAAAGTAAAGGGAGAAAGGAAGAAGGAACTTAAATAATCACTCACATTTCAGGTAAATTCAGTAGTGGCTGGAATCTTTTTCCTTTGGCCATTGTCTTTCTAACCCTCAGGTCCATCAAATGGTGTAGGATCCTCAAAGGGAAGAATTGAAGACAGCTACCTGTTGATCTTCCGCCTAAAACCATTTAATGTACCAGTTTGTTTTTGTCAAGGCTATTTTTAAATCTTAGAAGCCAAAAAAGAAGTCTTGATGGCTAACTTGTGTTCTACATTTTAAGTAGGTAATAATAAGATATTATGCTGGACATCATAAATTAGTTTTGACAATCTTTAAGGATCAGCTATAGGTATAACGATAAATCAAAAGTCACTGTACCAAAAAGAAATGCTATATGTTCAAACATTTCAAGAGGTAGCATATGATCAAGAGTGAATGATACTGAAGGAGGAAGTCCAAGGCGCATTGAAGTCATTGGCAAAGAACAAGGCACCAGGAATAGATGGAATCAAAATTGAAATCTTTCAGCAAACTGATGTGGCACTAGAGGCATTCACTCATCTATGCCAAGAAATTTGGAAGACCACTACCTGGCCAACTGACTGTAAGAGATCTATATTTGTGCCCATTCTAAAGAGAGGTGAAACAATGCAATAAAGAAACCATCAAACAATATCATTGACATCCCATGAGAATAAAGTTTTACTAAAGGTAATACAAAAATGGCTGCAAGCATACATTGACAGAAAACTTCCAGCTGTTCAAGCTGATTCAGAAGAGGATGTGGAACAAGGGATATCACTGCTGATGTCAGATGGATCTTGGCTGAAAGCAGAGGATAACAGAAAGATGTTTACCTGTGTTTTATTGACTATGCAAAGGCTTTCGGTTGTGTAGATCATGACAAGCTATGGGCAACATTGCAAAGTATGAGTATTCCGGAACACTTAATTGCGCTCATGAGGAATCTGTACATGGACCAAGAGACAGTTGTTTGAACAGAATATGAGAACACTGAATGGTTTAAAATTAAGAAAGATGTGAGACAAGGTTGTATTCTTTCACCGTACTTCTTCAACCTGTATGCTGAGCAAATAATATGAGAAGCTGGGTTATATGAAGAAAAACGTGGCATCAAGATTGGAGGAAGACTCATTAACAACCTGCGATATGTAGATGATACAGCCTTGCTTGCTGAAAGTGAAGAGGACTTAAAATACTTACTGATAAAGCTCAAAGACCACAGCCTTTGGTATGGATTAAATCTCAGTGCCAAGAAAACAAAAATCCTTACCACTGGACCAATAAACAACATTCTTATCAACAGAGAAAAGATTGAAGTTGTCAAGTACATCATTCTTCTTGGATCAACTATCAACACTCACGGAAGGAGCAGTCAAGAAATCAGACGATGTTTTGCATTAGGCCAATCTGCAGCACAAGACCTTTTTGAAGTGCTGAAGAGCAAAGATGTCAGCTTGAGGACTAAGGTATGCCTGACACAAGCCATAGTATTATCAATAACCTCATAAGCTTGCAAAAGCTGGACAGTGAATAAGGAAGACCGTAGAAGAATTGATGCATTCAAGTTATGGTGTTGGAGGAGAATATTGAAAATACCGTGGGCTGCCAAAGAAGAAACAGATCTGTGTTGAAAGAAGTGCAACCAGAGTGCTCCTTGGAGACCAGGATGGTCAGACTTTGTCTCTCATACTTCAGACATATTGTCAGGAGGGACCAGTCACTGGAGAGAGATATCATGTTTGGTAAAGTGGAGGGTCAGAGAAAAAGAGGAAGACCCCCAGTGAGATGGATTGGCAAAGTGGCAGCATCAATGGGCTCAAGCGTGGCAACAATTGTGAGGTTGGCCCACGATCGGGCAGTGTTTTGTTCTGTTGTGCATAGGGCCACTATGAGTCAGTACTGACTTGATGGCACCTAACAACAACAACTGTCACAGAAATATTACAAGTGGATGGCTTTAACAAACATAAATACATTTTCTCTTAGTTTTGGAGGCTAGAAATCTAAATTCAAGGTGATGGTTCTAAGGGAAAGCTTTCTGTCTGTGTGGGCTGTGGGGGAAGGTCCTTTTCTCCTTTCAACATCTGTGGACCTGGCATTCCTTGGAGATCTTCATGCATCTTGGCGTCATTCTTCCTGTGGGTCTAGGAAGTTCTCAGCACAGGGACTCTGGGTCCAAAGGATACACTCCACTCCTGGCTTTTCTTTCTTGGTAGTAGTGAAGTTCTTCCTTCTGCTTGCTTCTTTCTCCTTTCTATCTCTTGCAAGATGAAAAATGTAACTCAGACAAGAGGATCACTTGAGTAAAAGTGGACTTGAGTCACACACTCTTGTAAGGGTGTGACTCAAGATACTACCCACCCTAATCCTGCCTCATTAACATATAGAGGTTAGAATCTATAGCACATATAACAAAATGAAGGATAAATACTTTAGATCACAAAATAGAAGACAACTGCATAATACTGGGAGTCACCTCATTGACACATACTTTGGGGAGACGTTGGACAATATAACCCATGACACCATCTCTTACTCTTGCTTAGTAAAGCAATTATTTCTTCCTACCCATCTAGCCATATAATTCTTTATATCAATGACAGCGTCTCTATAGTCAGGGTCAAGAGGACTTTGCCCAGACCATGGCATTGCCACTAACTTGGCACTGCCAAGTGACCATGGTCGACTCCTCAGGGCAACTCCAGGCTCCAGGGTCGACTCCTCAGGGCAACTCCAGGCTCCAGGCTCCAGGCTCTATGATTTGTAAAATGATAGAGGTAGAAATAAAGGTTAAGTTAATCATCTTAGGTCCATTCCAAAGTCAAAATTCCTCTTTCCTGCCTCTCCCCATCAACTTGTACTCGCTCTGATGAGAAATCCCTTTTATTATAGTTTTCTTTATGGAAGCTATTTCCTTAGTGACAATTTCTCCATTTAGGGTACGTAGTAATTTAACAGTCACTGGTTTTGTTTATGTTTAAGACTAAGGGGAACCAGACAGATGGTATTTATATATACACATTACTTATTTATAGTATGAAATTATATATACAGGTTTCCCTTGCCATCAAAAGTAGAGCATTCCTATGAAATCGAAGCTGAAATGGCATAAAGTGAGGAAGCAATTACCATTAATTTATATGAGAAACTTTTTGAGCATTCCCAGATCCAAAAAATAATCTACAGATTCATTGCAAATAATGCATAAAGTCTTAAAGATGTGTTCACAGTCAGAGTTGAAAGCTATGCCAGCTCAATGCAGAGATGCTGAGAGTAGTTCCCAGGGAAGGAACCAGCCGATACCACTGTCACTGCTGTGGGTGTGGGCTGCTTCTTTCGGGGTTTGCTGCAAAATGAACACTTTTTGTAAAAATTCCCTTCCAATTGCTAAAAACAGGTTGTTATGTAGGTCTTCTGTAAAAGCAAAATCGCATAAAGTGAACTTTCAATAATTGAGAAATGCCCCTATATATATATATGTATGCATGCATGTATGTATGTGTGTGTGTAAATAGATTGATGGATGGATGGATGGATAGATAGATAGATAGATAGTTAGAGAGATAGAGAGATAGAGAGATAGAGATAGATAGATAGATAGATAGATAGATAGATAGATAGATAGAGAAGGCAGGCAGGAAGAAAGGAAAGAATCCTAAGATGTTTCTTTTTAGCTCTTTCCACAGTCTTCTTGGAGTCTTGGTATGACCCTGTAGGATAAGCACTGGACTGCAAAGCCAGTTTGAACCAGAAAGTCGGTGGTTCGAACCCACCAGCTGCTCCTTGGAATCTCTATGTTGTTGTTGTCGAGTCGGTTCCAACCCATAGTGACCCTCTAGAGATTTTCCAAGGAGTGACTGGTAAGCTTGAACCACCAACCTTGCAGTTCAAACCAACTTTGCAGTCTAGTGTATTAACCCACAGTGCCACACCAGGACTCCTGGAATCTCTATACAGGGTCACTATGAGTCAGAACCTACTTGACGGCATTTCACAGGACAACAGCAGTGCTTTCTGGCTTGATTTGTCTGTCTCTTTTGTTCAATTATTAGATCATTGAGTGTGGGAACTAAATTATATTCATCTCTATGTCCTCCTGAAACCTAGAGACTGTGCATTGTACAGAGTAAGCATTTAATAGATCTTCGCTCAGTTGAGTTGAAATTGTGTATTAAATCAAAATATTTAAATTATTGCTTTGTATAGTACTGTCTGTGCTTCAGGAAGAAAATAGACCCCAAATCTCAGTGGTTTAATACAACAAAGTATTTTTCCTTACTAAGATAAAGGACTGAGAGATGAAAATAACTAACTGTCCTGTATAAGACAAGAAGACAATTGTGTTTTGTGCCTGATGGGAAAGGGGGAATGAAAAGAGCATCTCAAATCTCCAGAAAGATCATGAAACTAAAAAAAAAAAAA